AGACCTGGGGTTCCAAATATCGTGAACACGTCGAGGGGCGTGGGGGTCCAGATCTGGGGTTCGGATTTCGTGAAACCACGCCGAGGGGCGTGGGGGGTCAAGAACTGGGGGTCCAATGGTCGGGGACACGTCGGAGGGGGGTGGGGGTTCAGGTTCTGGGGGTCCGACGTTCGTGAACACGTCAAGGGGCGTGGGGGTCAAGTTCTGGGGGTCTGAATGTCGTGAACCGCGCCGAAGGGCGTGGGTGGTCAAGACCCTGGGGGTCCTTTGCCAAACACTGAACCCTCCACGGCACACCATTGGCACCCTTCGCACGGCGGAGGCCACGCAGGGCACAAGGGCAGCCCCCCCCAAACGGCAGAGGAAGGGCCCCCTGTGAGCCACAGAGAAACCTGACAAAGTAAACTTTTCCAAAACTCTGGGAATTAACACAGACTCAGAACAATCCAAGGAGTGTTCGTCCGAGAAAACAGCTGAGCCTGAGTAGGGCCGCTCTGTGGCTTCAGTGCGCGGCTCTCACTGCCCCTCCGGCTCCGGGCCCGGGACGGGGAGCCTCGTCCTCAGGGAATGGCCACCAGATGACCGCCCAGCGGCTCCCTGGAGATCGCACTCGCAGGGCTGGCTCGCCTCTACCTGGTTGTTTAAGATGCAGCTGCTGGCGGATACCAGCTGGCAAACCAGAGGCCGACCAAGACCCGAGCCCTCACCTCTGACTGACCCTGAAGCTCTGCACAGGCGGGAGGGGCGGCGGGCAGCGCTGGCACTGCCGGGCGGAGTGCTGACGGGCCATCACCGGCCGGCCAGTGCGCTGACCCAGCAGAGACCCCATGGCCAAGCACCACAAAGAACATAGACTTCACAGAACTCATCAGACACTGAACAGTCTGGTCCCAGACTTGCTACATCATATTATTTAAAATGTCCAATTTTCAATCATAAGACAATTATGAGACGCGCACAGAGACAGGAAGTGTGGCCCACACACAGGCAAACCGGGAGTCCACGAAAACCGCCCTGGCTCCGCCCAGCTGTTGAACCTCCTGGACAAAGGCTTCAACGCAACCACTCAAATGTTTCGAGAACTAAAGGGAACCACAGCTCAAGAACGAGAGTGAGAGACGTTTCACCAGACAGAACGTCAGGAAAGAGGAAATGGCAGGCGAGAACAAGCAGAGATGCTGGCGCTGGGAAGTACAAGGCCTCTTCCAGCGAAACCAAGTCACGAGGGGCCCATCGGACTTCCACTGGCAGGAGGAACCTGGACCTTGGAGAGAAGCCACCAGGTCCAGCCTGAGGGACAGAAACAGGGTGAAGGACAAACAGGCCTCAGAGAGGAGTGGACCATCGGCCAAGGCAGCCGAGGAGGAGACGGGCGGGACTCCGCCACAAAGTAATGGCCAAACCTTCCAAATTCCACGTCAAGAAGCTCAACAACTTCCAAGCAGGACACACACACGGTCCACCCGGTGCCCCCAGGGACCCCGTCAACGACAGGCGGCTCGGAAGCAGCAGGACCCCCGTGTCTCGTGCCGAAGGCTCCCCCGTGTCTCGTGCCGAAGGCTCCCCCGTGTCACGTGCCTAAGGCTCCCCCGTGTCACGAGCCTAAGGCTCCCCCGTGTCACGAGCCTAAGGCTCCCCCGTGTCACGAGCCTAAGGCTCCCCCGTGTCACGTGCCGAAGGCTCCCCCGTGACAGCGACAGCGGCTTCTCGTCGGGTCCATGAGGCAGGATGGCGATGGGGGACGGATCCCAAGTGTTAGAAGACTGTTAGTGAATTCTACTCCCAGCAAAGCTGGTCTTCATAATGAAGGAGGAGGAAGGAAGACATTCCCAGACAGACACGGAGAGAACTCATTGTTAGATCTCCCCTTCAAGAAATAAAAAGGGCATCTCTCAGGCCCAAGTGAGAAAACACTAGACTCAACCCCACAAGGAAATGAGCGCCGATAAAGGAACCACAGAGCCAGACAAGACAGTACGACTGCACATTTGTTTCTGAATCTTGCCTTTCCCTCTGACGTAAGCCAGCTGCATAAAGCAGGGGTGGGACTTGTTCCTGCCGAGGGCCATGTGGGTGTTTACGACATCACTCAGGGGCCACACGTCAACTGAAAAGCCTGCTCTACTTGGTCAAACATTTCATTAGCTCACCCCTATTGCCAGGGCAGGGCCAGACCAAATAATTTCACTCAAACTCCCAAAATACCTTCTTCCGACCCGACAGAAATAAAGATTATAAACGAATACTATGAACAACTATATGTCAACAAATTGTAACAACCTAGATGAAATTCCTACAAACTACTGAAACTGACTCAGGAGGGAATAGAAAATCAAATAGATCTATAAAACACTGACTTAGTAGTAAGGCAAGTGAAAACTTCCCATTTGTACAAAAGTCACATGAAAAGATGCTCAAGCCTGGCTGGTGTGGCTCAGTGGTTGAGCACCGACCTATGAACCAGGAGGTCACGGTTTGATTCCTGGTCAGGGCACATGCCCGGGTTTCGGACTCGATCCCCAGTGTGGGGCGTGCAGGAGGCAGCCGATGATTCTCTCATCATTGATGTTTCTCTCCCTCTCTGGAATCAATAAAATAGTATTTTTTTTTTAAATGCTCAATATCATCAGTCACTAGGAAAATGCAAACCAAACCTCACCCACGAGGATGGCTGTGGTTAAAGACAGACGCTAACAAGTGTCAGAGGATGTGGAGGAGTCAGAACCCTCACAGCTGGGGAGACGTACAAGGTGCAGCCGCGTGGAAAGCAGGTCAGCAGTTCCACAGAAGGCTAAACAGAGTCGCCCTGTGAGCCAGCAATTCCGCTCCTAATTACATGCCCACGAGAAGTGAAAACATGTCCACACAACACACAAATGTTCCCAGCAGCATTATTCCCAAGTCAAAACATGCCAATATCCACGTCGCTAGCGAGTGTATAAACAAAGGCACCTCCAAACGCTGGAGCAAGTGGGCAGTAAAAGGGAGCGACTTTCTGGCATTGGCTGCGACACGGGAGAACCTCGGACAGCCGCGCTGTCCTGAGCCAGACAGGCCATCAGGGCCCCATTCCATGCCGGGTCCAGAACAGGGAAATTCAGACAGGCAGTAGCTCAGAGGGGCCTGGACTGGAGGTGGGGAGTGGCCTCTCCCGGGGACGGGCTGCCTTTCAGGGGGATGAAGTTCTGCAACTACGTGGTGGGGGGTGGGGGGCGGGGGGCCGGTTCAGCACTGGAAACACGTGGTGCCACTGCACGCGTGCCTGAGAGAGAGATAGGGCATGCGAGCTGGAACGCAACTAGGCGGTGTTTGAAACACACACAGAGTTCATGGAGCCGGCACCAAGGCAGGGGGACTGGACCCTCACCGTGACGGGTGGGTGCCCGCCTCCCTTTGTGTTCTCAGTAAAACGGCGTTTACACAAGTGGCTTTTCCTCGAGTCCCTGAGCGGATGGCCCAGCAGAGGGCTGGGAGGCGGCTGGGTGGGGCACACGCACATTCCCACATGGAGAAGTGAAGGAGAAACTAAGACATCCCCAGGCAAGTAAACATGGGGAGGAATTCATGGCTAGACCTTCCCCCTGAACACGTCATGAAGTGTGCGGGCCCTGCCAGATGCCCGCTGGGGACACGGCTGCCCGAGGTGAGCCCTGTGCGCCCAGCGCCTCTTAGAAAGGCCTGACCCATAACTCGGATGGTGGTGGCCCCCGTGGCCACGGCGTGTCCACACCCTCAGCATTTTAATCAGAAGATGCACCATTTCCTCACATTGAACACAATCATGGAGACGGAGGCCACTGCCCAGACCTGTCCGCTCTCCCCTCCGGGGCCCTGGCAGAGGGAGAGGAGCTGAGAGCAGAGGGGACCACAGCACAGGTGCCCCCTAACTCAGCGCGTAGTTAAACTGGTTTGCAAACTTCTCGTGCTTCTTCCGGTCCATCTGGTTCATGGCTGTGACCACCCTCTGCACAGCCGCCCTGCAGGGAGAGCAAAGCGAGAGGTGAGCAGGGAGCCCGGCTGCCATGGGGTTGGGTCTGGAGGCAGACGCGGCCCTCGGACCTCTCTGACTGCAGGCTGGTGAGTGACACAGCGCGGAAACGGCCGGTGCTGGAGGCCACAGTGGGGAGCCCGGGCCCAGAGGCGGCCTCACCAATGCCGACTGCACTCCTGACAGGCACAGCCTGCCCAGCAGTGGGCGGGGAGCGTGTGCAGGCAGTGCAGGTAGAAAGCAGGGCTCAGCCTCTGCCCGCTGTGGCCCAGCCACACCAGGGCCCCATGCCCAGTCGTGGGGAAACACGTAAGGACAGGCAGCAGAAAGATGTGGATGGGATCCCGCCCAGCTGACTGCTGTGATGGTGGGTCTGGACTCAGCAGGGCCCGAGCCCAGGAGGAAGCCCCCGAGGCCGCGAAGCAGCGACTGCTGGGCCCTGCTCCAGAGGCTCTGCCCTTGCACGGGGCTCGCTCACCCAGCTCTCCTCAGGCCCCCAGTCACACAGCTGCTGCGAGCAGCCCGCTCTGGGCCCCAAGGATGCAGCGAGGACACGGCTCCGGGTCAGCACCCAGGGTGCCCTTTACCCCGGGCTGATCCACAGGAAACCAGCCTCGTGCCTGGGGCCTGGGGCCTGGCCCGCATCTGGACATGGAAGGACACGACGAGCCAGCAGGGAGAAGCCCGTGGGGCTCCAGGTGGGCACCCAGGAAGCTGCCCTGCTGCCCAGCCCCACCTGGACCGGGTAGACAGCAGCCAGCCAGGAGGGCGGGGGCATCCCCTGCCCCGTACGCTCAGCCCTCCGGGTCGGCCGGGCGAGGGAAGACCCAGGCTGGCTCCGCGCCAGCAGCCCTGCTTGGGAAGAGGCTCCCCCGTGACCATGGGGCGACCGCTCCAGGCTCCACCCGAGGGCCTGCTGCCCCTCCCTGGCTGGGAGCCCCGTCTGCCGGGGGCCCAGTGGCCACAGGAAGAGAAGCACAGCAGAGGGGGTGCCACGGGCCTCGGGGGACAGCTGGGAGCTTGGCCGGCTGCCCTCCGGGGCTGGTGAGGGGCTCTTACTTAGCGAAGACCTTCTTGGCGATGCGTGTGCGGGCGGTGTCTGCCTGCTGCCTCAGGTCGGTGAGGCCGGGGTGCCTCCTCTTCTTGCCTTTGCCTCTCCTGCCAGCCCTGGACGAGCCAAGGTCCACCCCCGTGGGCCGCCTCCACATCCCTCATAAACTCGGGGTCCTGCCAGTCTGCAAACAGACCCGAGACTTCAGAAAACACCTGGCACCAACCCCGTGCCTCTCCCCGATCGCCCACGGTGACCGCAGCGGCAGGGGAGGGCGCGGGCCGCTCCCTAGGGCTGAGGCCAAAGGCAGAGCTCCTCCCACTGCCTGCGCCCTAGGACGCAGCACCCGCACCACCAGCGGGAGAGCTGGGCTGGGGCCAGTGCCTCTCACAGGCTGCTCCTGCTGTCCAGGCTGGACTGCCCCCCCAGGCCCCCATCACGGCCTCTTGACCTGCCTGCTGGCCGAGGGCATGCACAGCAGGGGGGCCCTGGCGAGGGGGCAGGGAGGGCTGGGCTTTCTTTGTGTTGGTCCAAAGGTGACTTGGCCACAGGTCTCAGCAGTGAGGGTGTGTGTTCACCCGGAGCCCTGTTCCTCCTGCACGCGCCCTTCGCGGCCAGGCCTGGGGGCGGCAGTGGCCGCAGGTGGCACCAGGCCCGGCCGTGTGCTCATGTGCAGGGCTGCCGAGGGCTCTGTCTAAGGGGGCTCTGGCCCGGGGCAGGGGCAGGCATGGGGGTCAGAGGCCAAGGTGCCCACTCTGGCAGCCAGGCCTGGTGCTCTGAAAGGCCACGAGGGGCCCATGAGACATGGTGTGGGTCCAGCCAGCAGCCCAGAGGGCCACACAGGCCAGGAGTCACAGCACAGCACCCTGGCTCAGCCGGACAGACCCGCAGGGGGTGCTGGACCCCCCACCTCGCAAGCGGGAACCTGGGGGGGGGGGGGGCTGTGAGCAGAGCACGCAGGCACAGGGAAGCCGTGCCTCCCTCAGACAGATGGCGAGGCCTCCCCAAGTTGATTTTTTGAAGTGAAGGAAAACGGGCTGCAGAGCGCAGATACAGAGACGATTAATCCAAGATTAAGGAAAACTGTCTAAACAGTTTATCTCCCAGTAATAAGAAGGCGTCACAGTTTAGGAACCCAGTGAATGGAGCAATTGTTTAAACACAACGGAAAACGCAGCGCCCGCGCGAGATGGAATGAGCATCTCGGGGAAATGAAGGAGCAATTTAAAGCCTCTGGAGAAAATCGATAGCTGCCGGGCGCGCGCCTCCTCCGACGGCGGAGCCTGCATTGTCACCGGGAGGGCGCCGGGAAGAAAATTGCCCCGCGTGCGGGGAGGCGGGATCGATACTGCAGTTAGTGCAGAGACGCTATTTCACATCTGACTGGCCGCCCGGCCGGCCCGCGGCCCATACCTGTTGTTAACAAGTCACCGCGGCTGGAACAGACACTCCTCAGGGCGACACAGAAACAGGCACTTAATCTGCTCCTGAGTGCGCACCTCCAGGGGGGCTCGCCTGCGGATTAGCAGGTCCCGACCCTCCTGCCCATCGGGCCAGGGCCAGGCGCCGGCCGGGCATCGGGCTAAGTCTAATCTTCGTCTCTCAGGACAAAGGAAACCCTCCACTAATGACAAACACCCGCTGGGACCCCACACGCTGGCCAGCACCCCCCAGGCTCAGCTGCCTCCCACCTTCCTCGGGGGTCTGGGGAAAGGACACCCGGTGGCCAGGGCCTCAAGACTCCAGTCCACTGAGCGCCCACGTGCTGCCCAGCCGGTGACGGCACCGCCCACGTCACCTCGCGGCCCTGCTGCATGGCACGTGCCCCACACCAAGCTGACACGCGCACCACGGTGAGACAGCTCCCTACACTGTCCTGAGCGTGACGACGAGGGGCTGCATCTCATCTGAAACTGGCCCTCTGCCAGAAGATGGGGAGCCTGGCAAGACCCCAAGGAGCATCTGGAGACCCAGTGCCCTTCGGCCACTGCCCAGACACACACACACACACCACACACACACACACATCACAGAAACCACACACCACAGAAACCACACACACAGAAACCACACACACACACAGAAACCACACACACACGTACGTGCACACATACCGCACATGCGAGGCAGAGGGATGGGGCTTGGCGAGAGCCAGACGGCAGGTATGAGGGCAGAACGAGCCGTTTCCTCTCAGCAGCATGGGCTCAGCGCATCAGCTTTTCTTGCCTCAATTCCCTCATTTGCCTGCAAAGCCTGATTCAGACCGCAGAGCCCCACAAGCCAGTGGTGACGGGGCTTCCGGAGTGGGGGTGCCCACTCTCCCACAGGAGCGCCCGACAACCACAGGCTGTGTGGACCCAGGG